GAGCGTCGGGGCTCGCTGTGCTCCGGTTGCCAGAAGCCTATCACAGGACGCTGCATCACTGCTATGGGCAAGAAATTTCACCCCGAACACTTTGTCTGTGCCTTCTGCCTCAAGCAGCTCAACAAAGGAACCTTCAAAGAACAAAACGACAAGCCCTACTGTCAGAACTGCTTTCTCAAACTCTTCTGTTAGAGGCATCATAGATGGGAGCTAAGCATCTTTCTGCCACCCCCTTGGCAGTTCTGTCTCTTTGAACATTACTGTGATTTAGAAACCTTACCAGATGGGGGAGAAAGGGAGGGGTTGGGATGGGAGTGCTTACTGCTGCTATGGAGAGGCAGTAGATCCAGAGATGAGATGGACCATTAAACTGGAAATGCCCTTGCGGTGTCTCAGCAGAGAGAGGCTGAGTCCCCTCATTACAGTGTGTGTGTCTGCGTGTGTGACTGACAGCTGAGCTTAGCCCCAGGGCTCTGACAGGGAGGTTTTACCCAGCCCCCTCCTGGCAGAACGAATCTGTGCCAGCACTTTTCAGCCTGTGTCAGTTCTCCGAGCAAATCGTGACACTTGCAGACATCACAGCCCTCCGCTTTGACACCTCTCTCTAAGGCATTTGAGTGCATTCATGCAGTCTGAGCAATAGCACAGCGAGGGCACCCTGTAATCTTTGTGCCACGCTGGCTCTGCTCACCAGAGCCAAGTGGCATGCATGACTTACTGAGCTGAGAGCATCAGCACAGGCAGCCGAGACCCTGCAAGGGTCTCTCCAGTTCCATTACACTGTAAGGAGTTGATACCACTTACCTTTTCTTAAGAGGAATTGAAGTGTTACTGTGTGTATTTTTTTTTTTTTTTCCTGGTTTGTAGTTCCCTGCCCTTTCTCAACACTGGAGCAAGAGGTGGGGGAGAAGCCTCCGATCACCTCTCAGCACTGACGTGCACTCCTGTGCAGGGCACCTCTGTCAGCACCCAGGCCTGCTCAGGGCATCCGCTCCCCTTGCTGGCTGCCTCCGGGAGAGAGGAGGAGGCTGGCATCGTCCCTTCTTTAAAAGCAGTGCAGAGGGGTTGGGCACAGTCTTTCCCATCCATCCTGGCCATGGGCGCATGTGATGTGTGTGCACCTGGCCGGAAAATCTCCCACCTATCAGGGCCTGAAAACAGTCACAGGAGTGGGGAGAACTGGAGGGGTTTAAGAAGCCAGGAAAAAAAAGCTCCAGACTCTTGTATTTTCTTCTTCCTCTCTTTGCTAACGAGACCTGTCGGCCTTTGGTATTTCCCTTTTCTGTGCTCTTGTTAAACATGTTCTACTGAGAGACGCTAGAGCAATAACCTTTTATATTGACTGTTACTGGTATAACAAGTCCCTTGGGTCAAGTGTGTGTGACACACTTGCAGTTTTACTATCAAAGTGAATACTGTATCCTCTCTTTGATAAGAACTGTAGATTTCTACACTGATTTTGAATTCATATCTGATTTACTTTTAATCCTCTCATACAGAAATTGGTTTTGAAGTGATTTTAAGAAAGCAACTTTTATATCTCAAGCTGTGCTGTTCTAGGCAGTGTGCCAGTTGTGCTGGTTTACTGCACCTGTAACCTCAACGCTTTGTTAAACCTAACTAACATTGAGTATTTTCCTTTTATTGCGGGTTGGGAGGGGCTGGAATCTGTGGGGAAAGGAATGTGACTCTTTTTTTTTTTTTAATTCCTAGCACAGGCAGGTGAACTGTGAATAGCTTCCCCCCCTCGCCCCGGGTCACCTAAAAGTGTGTTTTTTGGTTTTTATTGTAACCTGTAAACTGCTGTATTTGAATCACCTGCCTTTCTCCAAAAGCCTAGCTTCCAGGATGTTACAGTGAGTCTTAATATGATGCTGCAGGGGCAAGAGCTCAGAGCTTCCCCCTCAGTTTCTCTTCTTCAGCCATCTGAAATCAGAGCAGGGCTAATTGGGGAAGGGGTTCCTTTTCTCCTGTGGAAGAATGGTCTTGTGACGAAAGAAAAGGAGAAGTTGGGAGATAGACTCTGTTCCTGACTAGCTATGTAACTTTGGGCCAGTTATTAAACCTTGCTGTGCCTCAGTTTCCCCCTCTGTAAAATGGGGGCATTTTTGCCTGGATTCATGGTTATCGTGAGGCTTAGCTCTTGTGCGCTGAAGCACTTTTAGATCTGTGGCTGGAGGGGGCCTGCTGTGGAAGGTTAAATATTATGTTGAAAGGGCCTACAGTGTTCTGTGGTAACAGCCAAAGCGGCCCAGGGAGCAGTGTTCGGAATGACTACTCCAGAATACTACAGCAATACTACTATTGGAATGGGTAATGTCAGGGGGGTGTTGCTGGTAGATACGTCAGGGATCTGGGGGCGACTGTGTCAGAAACAAGCCAGACGTTTTAGGCTGAAATTCCCCAGTTACTGTTGCATGTAATCCTGGCTTGGTGCTTCGCTACCCTGCTTAAATCATTGCGACTCCTTTTCACCAGACTGCCATACAAAGGAGCCTCGGTTTGCAGCTGAGAGCAAAGGGACCTGTGGAAACTCTAGAACTGAAGCTACTTCAGCTGGGCTGAGTGCAGCTTTTGGACAGTCCAGGAGGCAAGAAAACTTAAAAATTTGTCATTATAAGTCAAATTGATTTCAAAGATAACATGAGCGTTTCTAAGCTACGTGTGGTTATCTCGCTGAAAAGGTTGACTTGCTCTGGCCCCGCCAAGAGGTTGAAAAGCCTTCGTATCCAGAGTGCAGGGTGGGGTTGAGAAGGTTGGAGTGCTGTTTCTGGCACTTCCGCTTGTGCGACACCTACCAAAGTGCGTAATTGTGTGCCTCAGTTCCCCTGCTGGGGATCCTTTAACCTACCTCACTGCTTGTTGAGGCTTCTTCATTGAAATTTCTGGAGTGCATGGAAAACCTTGGGTGCAGGGTGCCACAGAAGTGTGGTCGTGGTACTGTACGCCAGTACCAATGAGGGAAACTCTTACATCGTTAATGCTAAGTGGAGATCATTAAACAAATCATCTCCTGAGCAAAATGTTGAGTTTTTTCTGGATCCATCTGGTTTGTGACGTGCTGGGATGCTACACAGATGCCGCTCAGCCAAATAATTACTTCTGTGGTGGCTACTGCCACTGTGGAAGTCAAAATGGCCTATTATTTAACTTCAGTTTTAGACTAGCAGGGCCGAGGGCGCCGCGCAGAGCGAAGCGGGAGGGCGATGTGTTGCGGCAGCCCAGGCGCGAGGGCTCGGCGCCTGCCGGGCGGCGCGTGGCGCTGCCGGAAGG